AAAGAATTACTTGAAAAAATTAAAATTTAATAGTCTAAATCTTATTTAGCTTAGTATTAGTACTACTAGATATATACTTCATAATTAAAAATAGTATTATAACTAAATTATAATTTTCTGATTAACTATCATAATTAATTATAATTCTCTGATTAACTATTACAAATTATAATTAATTAAGATAATATTTCTATTTATAATAATAACTTTTTTAATTATATTAGAAAAAGAAAATTCTTTATTTTGAAAGTAATAAAGTAAAATACTTAAAATAGTATTATAAATATAAAGACTAAAATAAATAATAATATATAGTTATTTAGAATAATAAATTTCACTTTTTTTTATTTGAAAATAATAGTCAATAATAGATTTGGTATAAATCTTATAAAAAATATGATATAAAATAATATCTAGTACTTACTATAAAAAATAATAATAAAGAAATAATAATATGTAATTATTTTATTAAAAATTAACTTAATTTGTTAGTAAATTTAGAAAAAAAATTATAAATTAGATTTAAATTTTTCAAGATAATAATACTTCTATTTATAGAGCTAACTTTATACTTATCTAAAAGAAAAAAATTTAATATTTTATTTTTTATAATTCATTTAGAGTTCAAATCTCAATTTAATTAAGTATTTTTAGAATTATTTTAGAAAAAAATTACATGAATACAAATTTATATTAAAAAATAAAAGAGAATTGACTTTAGTTTTAGAAAATAAGTGATTTAAAATTGATAAAAGTATTTAATAAATAGTATATCTTGAAGAGTTACTATTATAATTATTAGTAAAGAAAATCTTACTTTATATTAATATTATAATTAAAAAGTTTATAATAAGAAAAGTTTAAAAATATAAATTTTTTAAAGATTATAAATATAATTCTTGAAAAAGATTAATTTAAATATTTAATATAATTTTTGAATTTATATAGATTATTAAATATATTAAATATTTTTAATAAAAGAGTATATATATATATAAATTTTTTTAATTATATATTTTATATAAAATACTAAAAGTAATTAATAATAAATAGATATAATTTATATAATTCATTTTATATATATTATATACTTATATATTATTTGAAAATATTTATAAATATTATTTCAAAAATTATAAATATTATTTTTATTATTTTATAAATTTTATAATATATATATAATAAAATTAAATATTATAATAGTATTTAAAGTTACTATATAATTAATTATTTTTTTTAATTTATCTAAAAATCATAATTCAAGATATATTTTCAGATTAAAAATTTTATAATCAGAAAAATATTTCAATTAAAATCAAATATATTTTTTTATTTATATATCAAGATTCTAAAAGAATTTTTGTATTTGATCATTTTTTATAATAAGAAATTAAATATTAAAAAATAACTTTATCTATAACTATATTAAGTTTGCTATTTTGATTAGTATTTTTTTTTATATTATTAAAAATATGCTATAACTATTATAAGCTGCTTTATCTAAATATAAATTATAATGTGATTCTAAAATAATAATATTTAATACTGATATTTTATATTCTGATTTTATATTATTTACTAGTTCTTTATTATACTTTATTTATATTAACTTTTGCTTCATTAAGTACTGATAATTTATGAAAAATTTGCTTAAAATTTGCAAGTTCTTTTATTGTAAAATCTATAATAACAATTTTTAATAAATATTATTTTTCTTGTAATGTTCTGAAAGAATTTTTTTTAATTGAAACTGATAATATAAATTGAAAAATCATATATAACTTGTATATTTAATTATATAAATAGTATCATATATATTTTCAAAGCTAAAAGATTATTTTTTGAAATTAATATTATTAAGAATATATATATTTCAAATATTTTCTAAAGTAAATGTACTTTTGGTTTTGATTAAATTTATCTTATTTTTTCTGTTTATTTTTCATATTATTAAGAGTGTGATACAATATTAGTAATATATAAAATTTAATATAATGATATTAAAAGCTTTAACTTTTAATAAAGTAAATTTATTATATATATTTATATATTAATACTTGAAAAAATTGAAATTTTAAGAGAATATCTGATATCAAATTCTATAAATTCAGTATCTCTATTTTTTTATTTTTTTAAACAGACTTGATATCTTTTTCTTTGTATAAATAATATTAAACTATAAAAAATTCCTTTAAAAATTATCAAAAGATTCTGGCATTTTTAAATATCTTCCTGTTTTGAATTAAATTTGAATATGCTTCTCATATTACTTGATCAAAAATTTCTTTGAGTTTTTTATATTAATTTTTATATATTAAATAATTTATTAACTGAAATTTCTCTTCAATTTTTTGATTTCACTTTTCTAAGTTATATAGCTATTTTTATAGCTAATAAACTAGGTATTAATTCATTTATTATTTGATTTTTATTTATATTACTTTATTTTTTATTATTATTTTGATTTTCATTAAAATTTTGCTAAATAATAATGCTATTTTTGCCAAAATATTTTGCCTAAACTTTTCATCTTGAGATTTTGCAATATCAATTAATCATTATCCAAGTAATAAAAGTATTTCTTTGTTATTATCAACATATTGTTCTTGATAAGTATAGGTTTTAATACCACTTTCTTTTCTTTCAAACAAATATTCACCTTCTTTTTGAAAATAGTTTGAATAAATAAATCTTACAGATGATTCTGTTATTAATTGCTTAATTAATTATTTATTCTTGTTAAGTGCTAAACATATTTTATATCTAATACAAGAAGCTTGTATATTATGACTATTAATACAATATTCTTTGTAATTCATATCATAACTAAAAAAATAATAATCTTTTATTGCAAAATAAGTATCTTCTCAGATGAATATAACTTATATTAATTGATTGTTCAAGTTTTGCTACCTTATTATGTAACTGGTTCTGATCAAACAAAAAGTATGCTATACAAATATCAAGTGTATGTATCATATTATGTTATGTGAATTATTTTTATTAATAAACAGACTCATCAATCTCTCACATTCCAATGAGCTGATGAAGAGATCTTAATATATAACCAGAGTGTTCATAATTAGAACACTGTTGTACTTTTCATTAGAATAGCACATGGAGTTAAATTTTTGCATGAAAAATCTTGTATTAGATAGTCCTCTTCTTGTATTTTACAACTGGTTTCTGCTGAATTTATAAATAAAGAATCAGTATCCAGCTCCATATTATCAATTAAAAATTCATCAACATCATTAATATTTTCAAAAGAATATGTAGTTTCTTGGACTCTTTGAAATGCCTCACAATTAAAGAAAACTTAAGAATTTTGCTATCATGATTATTTTTGATGATGTTATAGCATCATTATCATCACTGTTCTTACTATTGCTTGATGATGCTATCATATTACTATTAGCTATCAAACTGAAATCACTATCAAGACAAATATATTCATTATCAGGATCATACCATTCATCATCATCACTGGTGTTCCAAGAATTTATAGCTGCAAAAGATGTGTAATTGTTGTTGTTGGTTGAACACATAAAATTTACTTTATAATACCTTTTCTTGACTTTATATTTTCGCGATGAGTATATATGAGATAATATAAATATCGATATATAGAATTTGATTAATGATGATATCTGAATTTGATTGTATCCAAACTTTGATTTTATAATACTGATATTGATACGAAATTTGATTTACGAGATGATAAAATATATGAAATTTGGTTTACGAGATGATAAATATACGAAATTTGATTTATGAGATAATAAAATATACGAAATTTGGTCTATGAATGATAATGTACTAGTATGAGATGATTATTTCTATCGCTGTTGAGTGGCAAAAATTTATCTTTGTAACACAATATATCGTAAATCTTCACTATTTTTAATGATAACGCATTAGTATTTATAAATGACTTTAAAAGAAGATCGTTTCAAGGTTTTTCTTGTTACAGCATTAATATTAAAAATGCAATGACGTTACAGGTGATCGCATTTTCCAAATTTTGAGATGATTCCTGGGACTTGATATTTATGATGTAAAATTGCCTTCCCGACATTTTTAATTAATAGTTCAAGACAGATTTATGCATGTTTTCTCGTAATATCACTTTTTTCATCTTGAGTTGAATTTTTCGGATTTCTTTAATATAGTTAATAAGTGTCTCAACAAGATTATCTTCAGTTTTAAGAGATTATTTTTTAAAATAAAGTCTGGCGAATAAAAGTGAGTGAATAGAAACAAACTTTTAGTTAACTCTTTTGCCTCAGATTGTAAAGTTACTAACACAACTCGACCTTTGTTGTGTCATCATTGAACTGGTATGTTGTTATACTAAAGAATAAAGAATAAAGGAAATAAGGAAATAAGAAAAATGTTGGTGTTTAAATGCTCAATTTGAATTGTTATGCAAATTGTTAAAATTGTATTATCCATTGTGATTTTTGAATTGTTGTTTCTACTGTGGTAAACATAGCACAACGCAATACATATTGTATATATGTAAGGTCATAATGAAAACCAGCAATTAGGATATATGACCTGGGATCAATATTACGAAGATAATAGGTCTAAAGCTCGTTGGAACTCCCTATTCACCTTCTTATTCAAATAGAATTATATATACAAAACGGAAAATAAAATGTAGTATATGTGGAACGCTTGAACATGATAAACGCAACTCACCCTATCATCCAAATGTCAGATCCTAGTAATCCAAACTTCCCGAATCTGCCTTAAATAGCGATAGTGACTCATCATAAATCCTATATTTTGCAGCCAATCAGAAATCAATAAATTTATTAATCGAACAAATTTACATCTACCCTCAAATAATACATAAATAATGAAACACCAGAAATTAAATGTTGATAATTGAACAATACGTACAACGACTTTCGCAATAGACGTCATGCATTTTAAAAAGGATAAAATAATTATATCATAGAAATCTAAAAATAACTTTTGTTTCACGCGACAAGTTATTTATCAGCCGGGAACCTAGACGAATGGTACTGATTATTAAGATAGCAGAATGGATGTAATTCGTCTTGTGTCTTATAATTTGGATCAATACTACGGCATTATAACCATTCCAAGAGTTAACGTTAATTTCACGGTCGTAAAAATGTTCGTTGCGTGTGTGTAGTACACTTTTTCGAATCGGCTGAAACGAACTGATTTGCCATGTTCATATCGAGCTTCTGTATTGTTGGTAATGTTATTTTTATATATTATTTTCTTTTTTAAGATAGAAACGGGAGAGGTGCTTGGATTAGAGACGACCTTAGTCAAACATGATTTTAAAGTAGCCATTTTTTGTGACTGTAATTGTCTAGACTGGTGGAGAAAGAGGGGACTTACCGAAAAAGGTACTATTAAGATGAATAATCACGAATGAAATGGAAGAAACAAGAAACGAACTGGGAAAACCGAATCGAAAACTGTACTGTATGTTGAGAAGTGATGATGGTCGAAGATTTTTTACTTTCACTAGTGCGTAGTCGTGTTCGTTTTTATGAGGTTTTTTTAAGATCGATTTTTACAAACGTATATTAAGATAATTAGGAATAATACGTAAAATTTTTACTAACTTATACTGTATAAAGATAATTAGGAATAGCATTATCGTTATGCTTATTATTTCAACGGTACGTATACATGTTCTGTGATTCTAATGATACAATGGCTCATTTGAGAGACAAAAAGCACGAGAGTTATTAAAAAAAATTTAGTACGGGATACGTTCACCATTTTTTTTCGATAATAAGCTCACAGCGTCTTTTCATAGACCTTATTAAATTATTGGGAACCGGTTGGGGAATTTCTTCCCATTCCTCATTCATAAATTGCTTCAATTTTTTGTATATCAAAAATTGACATTTGGCATTTTATTTAAAATTTATACAATACAATACTAATACCCTCAAATAATACATAAATAATGATAGAAAGCGATTATCAATGAAAACACCAGAAATTAATTGAACAATACCTACAACGACTTTCGCATCATCGAGACGTTGAGTAACTATAATAATAATATTTGAAATATTACATAATAATAACACTAAATATAACAAACTGAACAAAGATTATTACATTAATGGTGATGATGACAATAAATTTTCTAATTTGTTAAATTCCGTATCTTTCATTCTTTCAATGCTCGATATCGAAATTGGAATTGATTTTTTTTTTGGTTCCAATATTCCTATTAATATTTTTGATGTAACATGATTTGAAATGCAAGATATTCTTTTTGCTCGTTTAATTGTTGAGCGAAGGTTGTTTTTCAAACTATCAAGTTTCTGATTTCCGGCATAGATCCGATTATTTTTGCGCAATTCCGTAATGATCTTAAGGATCACACTTTCGCGTGTATTGGTGGATCTTTCGTGTGTACCGGAGGATTTGAATAATTCAACTATCTTCATATAAATATTATTTATCGATATATTTGATTCGATGGCCGATGATGTGCATTGCTGTTTGTTAAATTTACTTAAATTCGTTTCCAACAATGTGATTGCTTCCGAAACATCATTCAGACCTGAAAGCTGTTCGTTTAATTCTTTTAAATTCGTTTCTAACGTTTCTAATAATGTGATCGAAATGGGCATGGAATCATCATCTCGTATATATTCCTTCAATACAGAAATAAATTCGTCAGCGGTAATCAAACGCCTTTTTTTTCCCTAAATATTTATGAGACAAATCATAAGTCATTAAATAAGGTGATGAATCATTAAGTCATTATATTTTATACGTGCCAATTTTTGAACGGCTTCCGACGATGGTCCCGATGCTGTTATGGTTTCTGATGCTGTTTTGTGTTTCCAATTTTTAAATTTAAATTGAACTTTAAATTGAACATTGTTGTTATTGTAGTTGATGTTGTTGATGTTGGTGTCATCATCGTTGTTGATGTTGTTGTTGATGTTGGTGTCATCATCGTTGTTGATGTTGTTGTTGATGTTGGTGTCATCATCGTTGTTGTTATTGTTGTTGATGTTGGTGTCATCATCGTTGTTGTTGATGTAGTTGTTGATGTTGGTGTCATCATCGTTGTTGATGTTGATGTTGGTGTCATCATCATTGTTGTTATTGTTGTTGATGTTGGTGTCATCATCGTCGTTGTTATTGTTGTTGATGTTGGTGGTGTCATCATCGTTGTTGTTATTATAGTTGATGTTGTTGATGTTGATGTCATCATCATTGTTGTTATTGTTGTTGATGTTGTTGTTGTTGTTGATGTAGGTGTCATCATCGTTGTTGTTATCATCGTTGTTGTTATTGTAGTTGATGTTGTTGTTGATGTTGGTGTCATCATCGTTGTTGTTATCATCGTTGTTATTATTGTTGTTGATGTTGTTGTTGATGTCGTTATTGTCGTTGTTGTGGATGATGTTGTCGTTGTCGTCGTCGTCGTCGTCGATGATGATGATGGTATTGTTGTTATCATCGTTGTTGTTGATGATGTCGTTGTTATTTAATGAAACATCTTTGAGGTTTTCAATAAGACTTTGCACATCATCCATTGTGTTCTAATGGTGAATGTATATCAAACCGATCTTGTAATAGTAACGTATTTCATAACAATACTAATTTTCTTACCTTGATGGAAGCGATAAAATTTTTAAGTGGATGATCAAGTGGATGTGAATTTTGATTATAGTACTTAATGAGATCATTGATTTCTTTAAATGTGAGATCATCGATTTTTTTGTTGTTCCAATAATCCGCGACCAACACCGCTGCAAAACTTGTAAAAAAGCAAGCATTTTTCAAATAATATTGTTCAGTATTCATTGAAATTGCATCAACTTACACGTCAGCCTCATCAACGTACGAATCATCTGAATTCGGATATTCATCCCATCTCACAAGGTATTGTAAAATACCCTACATGCATTTAAATTTCGAAAAATCGTCAATAATCAACATATAATATATACAACAAAACTGGGAAATCATTATTTACCTTATTTATTCGATAACCTTTAATTTTTCTGACTATTCGATCAACTTTAATTTTTTTGACTACAAATTCTTCTTTTCGCGCTTTTTGTCTCTTAGACATAACGATAACAATAATTGAGATAGTTGTGTGATTTGTTGATCAGCAAATAAAAAAAGGAAGTCACCATGTTTTAGCCATGGCTTTGCCTGTGAAATTCCTTTTAAGAATGAATTACGTAATCTCCCTAAATTCGGGATGCGTTAAGCGTTGTACCCACGTGACATATGTGGCTGGTATCCATTTCGAATGACGATCCGCCGCCGTAGTCGGAGATCCCGAGTGTGTCAAAGTGTAATATAAATCGGAGTGTGCAATTATCATGTAATATTTCAAATATCATTATTATAGTTATTTAACGTTATTTTTGTTAATTAATTTTTTATCGTTATCGTTATTTTATTTTGTTACTGAAAAGTGTTAAATTGTATATATAAATACATGTAATAAGCAAAAAAAGTTAATTTATATACACAAGCAAAAAGTTAAGAAATTAATATTTCTCTCTATTATTTTTCCTTAAAACTAAATAATTATTCGGCGATATATCTGAAAGTATTCCGGCACATTTTTAGGTATCGTTACAAATTTTTCTTCATGTCTTCCTATTTGTCGCCAGTTATCCTCTTTTTCTCCCTTTATTCTTTTAGTCGCTTCTTCGTGTCATTCTTTAAGTGTTTTTTTATCTAAAGGAATCACAGCTGCAACTGCAATAAAATACGAGTAAATAATACAATACTCACTAAATTGATATGCAAATGATGACACGGATATAGCATGAAATTTTTTAAATTCTAGTAAGCTTTTTTTAATACTCTAGATAATTAATCCTTTGTTAACTATTTCTTCAAGAAAAAATAAAAAATCTTTTATGGGATCAGTTTTATAAGTATAGATAATATTTATTTTCATTTCAACTTTTTTTTTGCCAAGAAATCTTTAAAATGTAAATAATTATAACATCATTAGCGTTAAACGTTATGAAACTATATACTTGTAATGATAATTATTACCTACCATAGATACATTTGATCATAAAACTATTATGATTTCATCGGTAGCAAATGTTGCAATCTTTATGTTTTTTTCAGTTGAGAACCTTTTTTTTCGAAGTTATTTTCAATTTCTACTTTTTTTTTGTTTTATGTTTCTTTTGAAGATATAAAATGTATTAATTTTTCTAGTTATTAATTTATATAATACTTATTATATTAGTTAAAGAATAAAAATAATAATTTTTATTAAAGTTATAAATATTAAGCAAGTTAAAGGAAAATATAATATAATTTGATAAGAATATAATAGTTTTTTTTTTCAAATATAAAAAAAATAAAAATTTATTATTATTTGAGAGATCAAAGTTTATAATTATCAAGAAAATCATATATATATACAAGAAATTAAAAAAAATTTCTTAAATATTTTATGATATTAATAATAAAAAGTTTATATAAAAATTTATTTGAAAATACTTTATTTATTATAATAGGCTTAATAATAATTTTTACTATTTGAATTTATTTTATTATTTTTCTAATTTAGATCAGCTTTTAATTTTTTGAATATTATATTTTCTTAAATTAAAAAAAATATAACATAATTCAAGAATAATACAATATAATTATTTCTTGTCAAGTATAAAAGAGATAGAAAAAATAAAAATTTATTATTATCTGAAAGATCATAAACTTTTAATAATTAGAAAAAAATATACTTATATAAGAAATTAAAAAAGATAGTTTGAGCTATTTTATAATATTAATAGTAAAAAATTTATGCAAAAGCTTATCTAAAATTCTCTAAAATAATTTATATTTTTTCATAATATATTTATTAATTGTTAGAAATTGAAACAGAATCTATGCAATTATTGATGACCATATCGATATGCCATGAATGCATGTAACAGCAGTTACTGGATCAGATTTAACATCAACAATGAAAATAACAAATTTAATCGTAAAGTCAAGCTTATTCATAGTTTACTTTGTAAATAGCTTGATAAGTAGCGAAATCCTCAAATAAACAATATGCTTTTAAATCAAAGCGCATACAGCAAAATTTCAAATTAGTTTAGAGCTAACCTTAGGATTTTGCTAACGCTCTATGATTTGCTGAATCAAGTAAATCTAATACACTTACTAACTCTTTCTATGAATAAAAGCGGTAACTCTGATAAATCATGACGACCACAAACAGATAATTTCCTATGGGATTATGAAAGCACTTGCGTTCATGTAATAAACACGTCAAAGAGGCAGCAAAAGAATGCAGTTTAAGAGTCAAACCCATCAAGCATTTCTTCGAAAATAGCTTGTGATAATCACAAAAGCCTATCCTAATTACATACATAAATAAATTCGATTCTTCGCGAATAAAAGAGATAATATGCATTTACTAATATATTCAAGCTTAATAATTAACTCATCTCCTCAAGAAGCAGCAGATCGCCCGCTTTCACCTAACCAATTGATAAAACTTATCGTGCGGTGCTTCATAATGTGCCCCCACGACTGTAATTGTCACGGTATTCGAAACGAATTCTTCTTTATTTATACTATTTTAATTATTCTATTTTAATAATAAATGAAGTATTAAGATTCACAGTTTAGTAATTAAATTTTTTACTATATTAATTTTAATTAAATTTTATATAGTGAAATAATAATTTAAAAAAGTTTATTATTAGTAAATTTTTTTTATAAAAGATATATAATAAAAATTTTTACATTTAAATAAATCCAAATACCTAATAACTTAATTAAATAAGACAGAATTAAAATTTTATTTTGAAAAAATAATCTATTAATATTTATCTGATGTACTAATCTTTTTGCACCAGACCATAACATATAATATAATGTGCACATGCCAACCGGCGAGATTTTTTTTAGAATAACATGCAATTTTAAATATCAACAACGAAAGATATTTTTTTAATACACGCCAAACGAAAACTATTCTTTTAAAAAATAATTGTAACGTATTTTGAATTACGTATTAAATGAAGATTACTTGTCTTTTTAAATAATACACAATGTAAGAAAAATAATATCTGACATCATTAAGTGCAAATTAGCACATTTTCGTGCAGCAACTGCCCCAAAAAAAGTAACCTCGATGGAATATACGAGAAAGCTAGCTGTTTTAGCCTTTCTTGGAAACCATCTATAAAAATTGTAAATGCACAGCAGCTCGTTTAATATTGAACAGTTCAAATTAGAAAGTGCTGCAAACAAAAATAATATTTAATGGAAGCTTCTCCTCATATATGATTGAATAATAGCGCATGTTCAACATATCTAGAACATGAAGCAATGGATCAGAGAATTGTGTCGAGAATTAAAATTTGCAATAATACATGTGAAAGCTAAACTCTTGCACGATCTGAATAAACAATTCATGTTGTGAAATGGTTTAAACATTCATGATGGATTCATTTATTAATTTCTTATTAGACAAATGGAAACAAACAAAAGAAATAGTAACAATGGACTAATAAACAAAACGAAGAACAGTCAGAATAAATTATTAAATTAAAACGAAAGTGTAAAATGGATAAGTGAATAACGAACTAAAATATCATTGTCGAGTTAGATCTAATAATTTGTTCATGCTAATAAAGTTAAATCTCTATTTATAAAAACGACCAAAAAGTTATTATATAATAAACCTTCAAATCGACATTTAATAAACCATATCCTTAGATAAATGGTTGTGAGTGTGGCTGAGATTTGACTAGAATGAAAATAACGGTAGGGTTATTAGATTATTATGATCACTTATAAAAAATCCATTGAAAATAGTATATGGATTATCAAATAAAAAAAGTTGATTCGAAAGCTCGTTCGAATTTTCAGCTTCATCATTAATGGTTGTTAAAGTGGTGATGGCGTTACAACTATATTCAGTTGTATCATTCAACGTGGGCGACCTAACGATTTGTACTGCTGCTTGTGTCGCTTCTTGAGAAGGGAAATTATTATTCATTGAGGCAGACATGGGTGAAGAAGTAAATGCGTATTTCTTTTGTTCGCGAAAAACCCATTTCTTGATATTTGAATCTTTTGCATTTTTTGGTTTATACTTATAATTAGGATATAAGTTTTTGTGATTCTCATAAGCTATTTTCTCTAATATTTTGAAGAAATACTTGTCTTCGTTTGATAGCATTCGCCATTTTATGCTGCATTCCTTTGCTGTTTCTTTAACTTTTAGTTTAGCGTGTTGATTAAATAAACGTAAATGCGCTTCATAATCTCTTCGAAAAATTATCCAGCTGTTCTGTGGGCGAGGTGGATGCTCATAATCACCACGTTTTTTTGCAGTCGGCTTCGTTAATTCTTCAATGGAAAGCGTTAATTGATAAGGACATTTACTTAAAATTAACAAATCATTATAGTTTAAATAGTCGTACGTACTAACGACGGAGTTAGACATTCTTTAAACAATACAGTTAATTTATCAAAAAGTGTAAACTGAGTAAAATAGTTTTCTTTTGCTAATTTTAAAAACTTTTATATAGTTTTTCCTCGCTTATATAATTTTTAATCAAAATTGAGATGACTAAATGGCATTATCACTATCGATTATGTATATACTATTTGTGTATTTGTTGTGTATGTGAGATCTTTAGCTAGTTTAAATTTGCTATTTTGTTTACAAGAGTTATTATTTGAATTGAGGTAAAATGAAGATCTCTGTCTCTGAGAAGCTTCTTCACTTTACTAAACTTTGTCTTAACAAGTGGTTAATAATTTATTTATTAATACGTATAGTTTATACTGTTATACTAATAAATTCTCATAAAACCGTAGTATGTGGGGAAAAAACATGTTTATTATGTTTGATTGTTCTACTATTTTAGTTAGATAGAATATCGATATGGAACGGGTCAAAGTTACATGTTCTTGTATAACAAAATGTCTGGCAAATGTACATAATGGAACCATAATATTAATATTACTATTACTATTGTACATTACCTTAACTGGTACAGAAATTGCGAATTTTTAAAATGGCATTCTTCTTAGTTAACTGTCGATTAACGAATCAACAAAACC